AAAAAAAAAAAAAAAAAAAAAAGATATACTTTCCTAAACTTGGCTTAGGGGTCTAAAACTTAATCTTCAGCCTACACCACCTCCCATCCTTGGCCTGGGCCCTAAGAGAGGGGTGCTGAGGGAGCAACCCCCGACGCCACTCTATTCTTTATCTCTTGCTACCAGCGGAGTCATGGTGCCTCAGGGAGACCAGATGGCTGCAGGATGCCATCACTAAGCCAGCACTGGGGAGATGGGATTGTTGCCTCAGACCCAAGATGCAGATGGCACAGGTGCCAACCAAGTCCAGGGCCCCAGTGATATCAGAAGTCTGGGAGTGCCTCTGGAACAAGGGAGGGGGCTGAGAATCCAGGACACAGCCAGAAAGAAGGGACCCCCCACCACCAAGGGGCAGGAGACTCAGTGCACAAGATCTGCAGGCTGCCTATACCTCCCGGAAAGGGGCCCCCATCTGAGAGATCAACTCCTCACCCCTGCAGCCACCCCACGCGCACACACACACACACACACAGAGCAGAGGAGTGGGAGGGGCATTTGGGGGATGGCCAAGAATCCAGTCATACCATGTGAGCACAAATTCTACAGCCAGGGTTGGCACTGACTCTATAGCAAAGTCAAGGGTGCCCCCACTCCCAGCTTCTCAGAATCAAATCTCAGCACAGCTACCCAGTCAGAAGTCTAGGCATTCAGAGCTGTGGAATGTGTTTGGAGAGTTTACCCCCTTTCCCCAAATGCAGGGCAGTGTCCCTGCCTCCCCTAAATTAGTAAATCAAATCCAGATGTAGACCCAATCTGCCTGATGCCCTAGGAGATGCCCCAGCTCCACATTCCAACTGATCACAGAAACAGCACTGGCCCAACAGGGCTGTCCTCTGTCAATCCCACCTTTCAGAAGCCATTGTTCATCCCCCAGGAGTTTGAGCACAGACAGCCCAGACTTTGAAGACAAGGCATTCCCTAGGAAGAGGCTTCAGGGAAGAGGAGGTGGACTGGATGTCCTTTTGTCATCTACTATTACGCAGGCAGATCCCAGGACCACATGGTGCCCACTTGCCAAAATCTGACCCCCTCTGTCCACCCTTGATGCATCCCTGTGTCTAACTGTAAATAAATCAACCGAACACAATTAACAGGATATTTTTTGGTTTTGTTGTTTTGTTTAAAAAAAAAAAAAAGAAATGACATCATGGCCAACCGGTAGGTCTTTAAGTCTCCTTCCATCCAGTCAAGCCACAAAATGCCCAGAGGAATAGGGAGGTGTGGAGAGGGCAGAGTAGGGGAAGGAGATATGGGGAGGGAGGCTGTGAGCCACTGGGAGGATGGGGCCATCCTGGCGACATCATGGCTATGACCACAAATGGGGTATGGAAGAGGACCCCAGGCAAACTCCCTCACCCCCCAGCAATATGGGTCCTCCTCTCCATAGGGCACATTCAATCCAACCTTGCATTCTTTCTTCCCACCCTGACTGCTCAAAGAAACCAGCCTCACCTCCCCGGCCTTTGTCCTATAGGCCTTCTTTTGACCTTCTTCCCTTCTCCACAGCAGGGTCTCAGGTGCCAGGCTATCAAACAGATGACACGACACCTGGACCCAAAGGTGAGCTTGTCTATACAGGTCCATCCCCACAAAAGGACACAGGGAAAAACAGGAGGGGAGCCCAGCAAGCCTCACTTTGGCATTGATCTGTATCACAATCATTGAGGCTTCTGCCACCCCACACTCTCCCTGGGCTACCCCTGCCCTCTGACTAGATTGAGGGAGGAACAATGCCCAAGGTATAACTCTCTCTTCTCCTCTGACTCTGGGAATGAAGCTTTTCTTCTCCCACAGGCTTGAGCTCACCTTATAGGAGTGTCCCCACATGCCAAAATCAGGGGAAGTCAGAATAAGAGTTCCCAAGGCTGAAAAGTAGAGTTGGCACATACTATGTGGTCGGTAAATGTTTTTAGATGGCTGGATGAATGGATGAATGAATGAATCCAGAATCAATTTGGAAACATACCAGGGCTCCCCAGTGCCCCTCTCAGACCTCTTGGTCTATCTCAGCTCCAAGAGGATACCCCAGGCTCCAGCTCACCACAAGGGCATACCCCTGCCCATAAACACACATACATATACATACACACACACACCCCAAGGAAACTTCTGGGCCAGAGGCAGAGCCAGGACTCAGACCCAGACTCCACTCCAGGTCAGCTCTGCAGCCTCCGGAGGATGGAAGTGGCAGGGGACACTGAGCCCCCTGCTTGCTGGCAGGGCTCACTCTCGGAAGCTGTCAGCCAGTTGGTGGCAGTCCAGCTCCCCCTTCGGCTCCAGACCTCCTGGAAGCTTCACCCCCGTCTTCCGGTCTACACACCAGCACTTGCCCCGCTGCCCATCCAGGGCTGGGTGACACTGCCAAGACAAGGGTGTGAGGCATCAGTTCCCAGGCAGGAAGAGATTCCCGGAGGCTCACCCAATCCCAGCCTAGTCCCCACGTCAGATAGCTGCTGAGCTCAGGTCCTCTGAGCTCACTGGAGCAGGGAGAACTTGGCCAAGAAGGGAAAGGTCCAGAGAGTTTCAGAAGGCAGGGCCCTAGGAAGGCTCTGGGATTTAAAGGCACAGCTGGACCTGAAAGGCTGGATCTAAGTTGAAGAGGTCTTAGGGGTCACACTTTAAGAAGAGATTAGGGGCTTGGTGCCCATTGCATGGTGATTATGGTGCCAGCCACATATACTGAGGCTGGAAGGTTCAAACCCAGCCCAGGCCAGCTAAACAACAATGACAACTGGAACAAAAAAGTAGCCAGGCATTGTGGCAGGCGCCTGTAGTCCCAGCTACTTGGAAGGCTGAAGCAAGTGAATCGTGTAAGCCCAAGAGTTAGAGGTTTCTGTGAGCTATGATGCCACAGCACTCTACCGAGGACAACATACTGAGACTCTGTCTCGGGAAAAAAAAAAAAAAAAGAATGAGATTATAGTTAAGAGCAGGATCCAAGTTGGGGTTAAGGTATGATCTCAATAAGAGTTGCAGTTAAATTAGGAATAATGACTATAACCTGAATTGAGTGAGGGTTACAGCCTAAGTCAGAAACAAAATTGGAATAAAGATAGAGGGTCAAGATCAGAACAACTAAAGTCAGGCTAAAGTTTGAGTCAGAATTAAACAGGCGGGAGCAGGGGCATAAAAGTATATGTCAGAATAAGAGTCAGAGTGAAGATGGGCTCAAGGGTCAGAATTGGTCTGCAGATAAAGGGCCAAGTGTCAGAACCTTCACTGGGAAAAAAATTGGGGGAAGAAAACACAGAATTATACAACTCAAAAAGGGAACTCTCATGTAAATGATGGACTTTAGTTAATCATAATATACCAAGGTCATAATCATAATATACCAAGTGATGCCTTGTTCATCACTTGTAAGAAATGTACCATACTAATGTAAGATTTTAATAATAGGGGAAAGCGGGGTAGGGGCAGTACTACAAGGGAACTCTTTACTTCCCACCTCCCACTAGATTTTTCTATAAACCTAAAACTGCTCTTTAAAAAAGTCTAATAATTTTTTTAAGAAGAATTAGTTAGTAGATGCCAGGCACAGTGGCTTACACATGGAATCCTACCACTCTGGGAGACCAAGATAGGTGAATTGCCTGAGCTTCAGGAGTTAGAGACCAGCCTGAGCAAAAAGCAAGACCCCATCTCTATTAAAAAGATAGAAAAAAAAAAAAAA